GACACGCAAAAACCGTCACAGCATAAAGTACTATATCATCATATAGACAGCCTTTCCGAAAATCCCTCCACCTCAGATAAACTGAAAGAGGAGGAAAAAAGAGTTGAAAACTTAGAAAAAGAGGCAAGGCTTCTCCTACAGGAAAATGCAAGGTATAATTTTTATACCTAATACAAAAGAAGGCACAAATGGATTAAAACTTGAGAAAGAAAATAGGATGGATTGCAGGGTAGTTCGTCTTTTCATTTGTTGTTTGCAAGCAACAAGTTGATATAATACAGTTGTACTGTTTGGGAGGCATATTTGTTGACAAAGATGGTTTATTGTCAGCCTTAATTATCATGACAAGAAGCTGTGATTTTATCATTCACAAGTAAATTCCTTCCTAATGTTAACTTCCATTACATACGAAAGCATTTTGGCAATATATTAATTTTATTTAATATTAAAATGAAGTAGACATGATGGATGTACATACAGCCTTGAGTATACAGCCCCTTGTTAATACTGTTAATTATACCTACATTTTGTGTATCAGAACTTTCATACATTCTCATGTACATTTGTAATTATATTTCTGGTGTAATGACTCACCACAAAATTTAGTATTACATAGTGTCCTCTCACATTATTGCTAACAGATTGACAGTTGCTGATTATATGTCCTTTGAGATAAAGAGTTGGAAGCTTGAAATACAGTCTCATGTACAGTGCTTATGTGAATATGTCCCATAAAAACGAGCTATTTCTGGAGGAATATTAACTCATTAATTACCCTAAAATTTAGTAAAACATAGTGTTCTCTCACATTTGGTAACAGATTGACTGCAGTCCTTCGAGATGAAGAGTTAAAAGCTTCAGAAGAGTCAGACATCAATGTCAAAGTTGGTAAGAAACTCACAAATTTATGAAATTTTGCCTTTTTCGTTATTCAAGTCTTCTAAAGTATGTTGTAACAATGTTGAAGGCGCTGTTGCTAATACAACAACTTTGATTGACCGCTGATAAATAGACCCTTGGGCAAAGCAACCAGGGTTGACAAAAATAACTGGCTGCTGACGAAAATCACCACCTACTTGGTTAGTATCGGCCAGCTACTTTAGTTGGCATTTCTTTACAGATGGCGTTTCTTAAATAAAATCTGCCTGGCCGCTTACTGACAACTCAGCCATCTACTTCAAAACGTTTTGACAACCCTGAGCAACACATGCATTTTTTGGCAATATCTTGTTTTCTTGACAGCTGAGTCTCAAGCAAAAGTATCCGTTCACATTGAAGAAGTTCCAAAGGACTTAGAAGAGCAAGTGGAAGAGTTACATGCACAGGTTTGAGCATATATACAGCATCATTGTCCAATTCTGAATAATATAAATTTGCATTTAACAAGTTGCGGTAGAGGCCACTGTATTCAGACACTTTCTAGAATTGAAAGAGGTAATCTGCGAACAGGCCTCCTCCGTATACTTTGCTCTAATTATTGGATGCTGTTCTCGACATCCTTTTCCCTGGCCATGTGCACGGTGTTGGTGTACAAAGGCGTTTCAAAATATGTAACGCTAAATACTCGGCTAGAACAGTAAATTTCGACTCCATAAGGTCTCTGTGCGCCTTATTTTAGAAGACTTTTAAGCAATATCATTCTTAAAAGCGAAGACAATCGAAGAATTTAGGAACTCTGTAACTCATATTTCTGCAGTAATTTTCAGTGCGTTAAATTAATTTACTTTTAATTGTAAACTTAAATGAATTTTTACTATTTTTTAAGCATTAGTTAAATATACATGAGTTGTACTTTTCATTTATGATGTTAGATTGTCTCAGTTGCCTTTAAATTTACTGTCCTAGCCGAGTATTTAGCGTTACATATTTTGAAACACCTTTGTACACCAACACCATGAGCATGGCCAGGGGCTCTTTCTTTCATTGTTGGTCTTGACATTGGACAAATCCACCGAAATAAACATCACTAAACAACATTAGAAGCTAGGTGTCCCTGATTATATATTTCCTAATTAATGGACCTTGAAAGTAGCAAGTCTTGTTAAAGGCCAAGATACATTGTAAATTTTGTTTGCTGAATTACATTAACATCCCCTCAATACTGGTAATTTTCATCTTAATTTTGTTTTTAATTCAGAGACCTATGAATATATATTTTTTGTAGTTTTAATTAATTTTGTAATTCTACAGATTTTAGCTCAGTTAGATTACATTGATGACATCAAGAGACACCAGAAAGAGTACTGCGTTCCTATCACTGTCTGTCAGCATCTTGAGCAGTGCATTAAAGAAACAGAGGTGATCTGACCATCCTTTTCTACTAACATTGTTGTTAAGTAATGATCCAGGTAAGAAGGAAAGCAATTTCTATTGTTGTGGCGCAATACGCTTTCCTCACATAGAAATGTTTTCATTTTTACGCAGAGAGTGCATAAATCTACAAAAAGGCTGTTTACGAAAGAAAATGTATTTAAACTCCACTTTTAAAGGGTGTATTTTT